TACTATAAATCAACCTTCTGTTCATGGATATTGTAATTGGGTAAATAAAAGTACATGAAAAAATTCAAAAAATTTACCTATAAATTTTTCTTAAACTTATTTTTGAAGCCATAACTTATAAAATAATTGAGAAAATAACATGAGTATGCACAGAAAGTTTGTGCTTTCTTTGCTCTTTAAAATGAGATATCAAACAATAAAATTGGTTCAGTAGGTAAATAGTTATAAGAGATTTAAAAAAGTATATATTATGATAATTTTTAAAAGGATTTTTTTTATCACTAGTTTCAGTAGCGACTTCACTTAAGCCACTGCATAATCTAAAATAGACAAATAATAAAACAAGCGTATTCAATATATAGATTAAAAATGGTTTATTTCATTTCCAACAATATCGCTTTTCAGTTTCTACAGCAGGTCATGCAATCGTGTCCCAAAACGTTATCCAACCATTTGAGATTGTTTTGTAATGTGCACTGTGATATTGGAAACTAAAGTATATTAAACACAGATAGTGACGATAGATAATAACGGTCTCTGTTTGATCACCATTCACTGATTCATTAGACCACCATTCGACGCCCACATCGACCCAAATATTTAAATTATGGTTTATTGTTTCCATCAAACATATCCCAATTAGGAGTTCGTTTACTGGTTTAATATACTTTATATTTTACGATATAAATATTACTAAGGCATCTTGGTTGTATCGAGTACCATTGGTTGCTATCGTTTGGGCTGCACTTTACTTTAGGCCCTACACTCGATCGATATATCGAGTATTCGATTTTTTTATTCGATATATCGTTTGGTTAGGTAAGGTTAACCTAACCTAACTAACCAAACGATATATCGAATGAAACAATCGATTAATCGATATATCGATCGATATTTTCATTTGAATGAGTGTAGGACCTAAAGTAAAGTGCAGCTATTGTTTGTAACCACGCCAGTAGTGATAGTTAAGTCTTAAAATGTGTAATGGTTGTTTGTCTTATCAAATATTAATAAATAATGTGTGAATATTGTTAGACATTTCGAGGTAAAATAAAAAGAGCACTATAAATTAAGATTATTTAAATAGGCCCTACATAAAGGTTTTATAATCCCTAAATGTAAGTTTAGTTACAATAGATTGAACTAAAAATGCATTCAGGACCATTTTTTGGTCGTACATTTTTTTTGTTCCTCCTGATAAACTCTCAATATATTTTATATACTTACATGTTAGTAACTTTTCATTAAATTATTTAGCTTAAAAATGATTCATTTAATATACTATTTGGCCCTTTATGAGTATACAATTTATAAATAGAGGGTTGTGGCATTTTATTACACATATGTAACACCTTTTCATGTATACTTGTAAGAAGCAATTAACGATAGTTATTAATGTTCAACCTAAGTAAGACAAACTTTTGGTAATTGTTTATATTCCTTCATTTAGCTTGAACAGCCCATGACTTCCATTGTGTCTCAACTAACTTGTAATCTGTTGAACTTGGACCTCAGTTTTGGTTCCGGTTATTATAGAAGTTGTTCTGCCTAACTGAATAGTCGTCAACGGTTATTACTCAATAAATTATTGTGTTTTCTAGCTTTTGTATATGGTATTATTTAGAATATATCGTTGTTATTTTTTATTTACTGTCACTGAACAGAGCACTGAAGAAAATAGATTGGGTTTTTGCCACACCCTGTATTAACTGTATCATATTTATAAATTGTATATTACATACATCAACATGAAAGAAAATTGGATTTAAAGCTTTTGGCGACTAAAATTGTCAATAGCTTTATACTTATACATTTATTCATCTTCATACAGGGTTTCACATAAGTGGCGAAAATTCAGGAATAGTTAAATGGGTAAAAATAAAACGAAAATAAAAAATAACAAAAAAATTTCCAAAAACACCGTTTTAGTGAGGTTTTAGCAGTTTTGTGTGTGTTTTATTGTTGTTTTGTTGTTTACTCGAGAAACTTTCCACACTCGCCTGTGTTTCGTGAGTAAAAATCTTTTCTCAAGTGCAGCAAAGAAACTTGGCGCTCGGTATCACATTATATTTTCCTACTATAAAGCATATAAATAATTAGTCTTCCAAACACTATAGACCTCGTTTTTAGGTTAGGTTCATTTCAAGCGTTGAACGAAAAGAGAAACGCTGCACTAGCTAAAGCGTACGTATTACGAGCCTAAAACCACACTGTTTTGTGTTGTTTGGTTGAATTGCTCGAGTGCGGCAAAAAAGGATTGCGGTAAAAGTAAAATGAGTGCGGAAAAAGTAAGTGAATGCAGCAACTAGCTACTTTGCGTGACATAATTAGTGCAAGAAAGCCCACTTTGTCAATTATTTCATTGTTTTCTAATCAATGTCTTTTATTTGTTGTCATTAGTGAACACATATCAACTTTATAACTTTAAAAATCTTTTACAAAGCAAACAGTACTAGTTTTGAAACGTCCAATAACGAAATCAATTAGTTTAGGTTTCAATAATCAAATACCGAAAAGGACATCACACTGTGGCAGGTGACATGAAATGTTGGAGAATGTCAAGACAAAGTGTTCCAGGGAATTGATATCGAGCGATTGGAGATTTATCTGCAATATTTTCTGCCCTGAATAGCAAAAATACTTTATACTTTTGTACTTAAAGAATTTTTTTTGTGGATTCAAGAAGAGTCCAAGTAAAAGTAAAAGAGTAAAAGAGAATGATAATAATGGTTCAACCAACGTCCTGGCTGAATTTCTAGATTTTTAAGGGTATTTTATAAATTTATTTGTGGAAATATATTTATGATAGGCGGACTTATCTTTCGTTATATGTCTTCGCACTTTTCGTTTTTACATTCGCCTATTGGGTCTGATGATGATTGGAGTGTCCAATCGAAATCGATCACCACTTACCATCTTTTTTGTATATTTACCGTCTTGTGAGTAACAGTATAAGCGTAAATATATGTTTTAAGTGTTATAAGACGTTTCTTTTATTTACTTTCCGTTTTGTGTCTTCCAAACCTTTATAGCTAAACTGCCCTCAAGGTTTGTATTGAAACACCAAATACCTACTTTACCGTGATATACTCGTAACTTGATCAACAATAACAATACATATGAAAAGAACCCATCGCTGTATAGAGTTTTGTGAAAATGTATTCTTATTGATATTTCTCTGATTTCACCCACATTGAAATTTGACATTCAGTTTTTGAAATAGGAAATGCGAAAATCGACGCTAACATAGTAAACATAAAAATATGTGCTAATGTGGATGAGCTCAACATACACAGAACCTGCTTAAAAATCGAACGACTAAAACCTTTTTATCATAACCAAGTAGACGATGATAAACACGTATTACGCTACCAATATGTTTAATCTTTCTAATAGTATAAATGTGAAAGTATGGATGTTTGTCAGTGAGTCTGAAGTTCCATCACGAGTTAACTACTGGACCTGACATTTTAATTCTATAGGGCTATGCCCCATAGGGGTCGAAAGTTTCCATGTTATTTTTTTAAACAATCGTATTTAAAAGGGAGGAGTTAGAGAATTTTGCCAGCCGTTTCAATTAAACAAGTTGGTCCTATGATATTTAATAGCGTGAAAAGTTACAAGGTTTACCAACAACTAACAATAAGCAGCAGCACAATCAAGCACTATTATTTTTTTGCATTTATGCCAACAGCTAAAAATAAGCAGCAAAAAATCTGTGATACATAATGAGAACTGCAAAGTAGGATTGTTTAGAATATTTTATGTTTTTAATTTAACGAATAATCTTTGATATTGTGCGAATGTTTGATAATTTACCTAACCCGCCATGTTAAACTTCCCTATCCCAAGCGTGATGTACACAACTTTCTTACTTCTCGAGTGATGTAAAGTTGAAAAAATCTCACTCGATGATGTAATGAAACCCATTTAAATAACATTGAGTGCTTAACTTAAAAAAATATACCTCTATGGAGGCATCGACGTTCAACGCTAGAAATCAGCTGTGCGCTTGAATGTTATTGTTATGCTTTAAAGTATTTTCCTAACCTAGCTTTTGTTTCTAAAAGAACGTTACTGTTAGACGATGAGCGAAATGGATAATGAAAAATATTGTATGTAAACCCATGTATATTGTCGGGTCAGGTAAAATCTTGTACGTTACACGTTGCGCAAGAGCGTGTTTACATCTCTTAGGTTAATTATGCAACTCGCTTCCGCTCGTTGCACAACATTCACCTGCGTGATGTAAAAACGCTCTTACTACACTTGTAATGTAAATAGCTATTACCTTTCTTTTGTTTAGGTGCAGTAATAGAGCATTATGGCTATGGTAGCTGTGTTATACAATAGCATACCATAAATTTAAAAAACCAAATTATCTCAAACAGTGTCCTTCCACATTGCAAACGCAGGGCACGAATATAACGATTGCAATAAGTATTTAATATACTTAATAAGTATTTGTACTTTCACGACACTTATACGCCAACTACGTACGAAGGACAAGTAGGCCTATTTTGCTTGTTTAAAAATAAACTTCCTTTTTTTGGACAGCTGTTTGATCCCTTGCTAAAAAGCTAATAACGCTAAAGAGAATTTCAGTCTTATTTTAACTAATTTAAATTGACAGTTTTGTAAATAAGAACTTGAATGTCCTTCATGTTATAACATAGCTGACAATTAACAAACTTCTTTAATACAATTTACATTCTTATACCTGTCAACCAATGTATCGCCCTATCCAAGATCCAACATACGACCTTTTCAACCCTCATGTTGACATTTCTCTGGTATTCTCTAGATTTCTATATTCCCTCCTCCCCTCAAAAAAGTCATACAATATAATTCATGGATAAAAAACTTTTTTATTTAATTTAACTAAACGAAAGGTGTGGTTTTTCATAATACAAGATGACACGGGATACGGACGGTTTTCATCTTCGTAGTACTGAGAGTGCGGTGGTGGGCATAATAACACAAGACGCCATTTCATTAACTCAGTCACTGTGGAACAGTGGGTCTAACAACGTCGATTGTTTGTCTATGACAGCTTTGTGAGAAGTGGTGAGTCTATAACAGGTACACAGTGATTGTCTCGTGCACGGTTTAATGTCCGTCGACGTTGAATTGTCCTGAGCCATAGCTCTGGTCAGTACTGTTCTAGAAACTAGTCAGTACTGTTCTACAACCTCGCAATACTGGTACAGCTAAACAGAAAATGATGAAATTAAAGTTCTAGGATTAGTAAGAGACAGCTCTCTATCTTGGTCACCACATGTGGATTCAGTTATGGAAGGGTGTGCTCTACCTCAGCTCGGGCTTTAGTATTTATGTTGCATCATTGAACAGCGCCGCGGGAAGCGCTTGCAGACGTTCAAGTTTTCTTAGTTACTCAGTTAACTTTATAAATTTGTTTCATCCAAAGAAAGTTTCTTACTCACAAAGTTAAAATATATGATATTGTTTCCATCAAAAAATTGTTCTCGTGAGTAAAATGATTTGAAAAAGGCTTATTTTAAGTGATATGCCAGTCACTTCACACTTAAATGTCTACTATTAGCACAAAATAACAAGCGTACAAGCCTACAAAAATATAAACAGATAACAACATATTTTCAATCGGTTAAGAACTAAGCCGACAATGACGGAGATCCTTGCATTAGCGCGCGGCGGACAGGTTGAGCGCACCCTTGGTATTGTGCCAGAAACCTATGTAAAGGCTGTCTACGAAATAGCTGCCATATTCAGTACATTAAGTTTTCTGCTACAAAAAATTGAATCAAGGGTAATTAACAAGTCTCGATTCAGAGCACACTGCAAACCATTATTTATTAAAAGTCAGATCCTGACTGTGATAAACCTGTATATATTTCTGTGTTTGTTGTATGTAAAAAAGAACAGGCTTATATGTACACAGATCAGACATTCGCCAATGTAACACCAGAAACCAGTTCATGTTAGATATACCATACACTAGGATAAGAAAGTGTAAACACAGTTTTGCGATTATTACTCTAAAAATATTTAATAGGTTTGTTTGAACAAAGGGGAATTAAAAATTAAATTCCTGACTTTGCTACCAAACTGAATAATTGCTGGTTCAATAGATATTTGTTAATATAGTAGAAATCAAGTTTATTGATCTGTCTAAACAGTGAGTTACTACCTACTGGAAAAATAATAAATTCATTTGAGTTCAGAAAATATTATAATGATACAAAATTAAATTAACCCTTTACAAATCAAATCAAAACTATTCTCTTGATGAGATATTTAAGTCCAAATTGGAATAGACAGAGAGGAATGATGTGTAGAGATGTACTCACGACCTCGAAGAGAAGAAATTAATGAATGTTCGTTAATACCAAGTAATGGAGATTAACACTTCTTGAGAAAATAAAATATAACACTGTGTGCACACAAACTTCTGGTGAATGTTCCTCACGGTTAAATAAAACTTCTGTTGAAACAATAGAGTCAATAATTGATGATTTAATATGGGATACTGAGACCCATGGTAAAATAATTAGAGGGATTCAGAGACCCTCATAATGTTTGATTCACATGAAGACTGCATAGTAACTGCGTGAGTTGGAGCAGTGTACAGGAAAAACCACTGGTCAGTCTATATCATGTCGGCTGGAACTGATAAGCAGGATACGCAGCACATTCCTCTGCATTGTCTGCCTATCTCTCTCTCTCTCTCTCTGTCTGGCTTAACTTAATACAATTTTATTTTATGAACTCACTTAAAATATTATTCTGAATTGAACCAAAAAAGTGCAGTGATTTATTTACACACAAAACATTTAAATATCTATTATTTAAATGACAAAACAAGTATTATTTTATTTAAAATAAATTTAAGTTTAGACCTAATTTGAGAATGCTCAAACATACCGCCCACCGAAATTTCAAAGGAAATTTCTAGCATCTTACTTAAAAGGGTCAGAATTGATTGAAAGAAGAGGTACCAATTTCACAGCTGGACGTTGGAATTCAGAGTCACTGGTCTTGACAGTCATCACTCGAACAATTCCATCACTGCCTGGGTGAGTCTTGATGATTCTTCCAAGAGGCCACTGCAAGATAGGTACATTTTGATCCTTAAGAAGAACCAAGTCTCCGATTTTAGGGTTTGTAGAAGATCTTGTCCATTTTCCTCTCGCTTGCAGGATGTTCAAGTATTCCACTCGCCACCTCTTCCAAAAATGTTGAACCATCTTGTGGACTAGTTGCCATCTTGTAAGGACGTTTTCTCGAAGATCAAGAAGAGAAGGTTCGGGAGGAGCAACAAGAGGACATCCAACAAGAAAGTGTCCTGGAGAAAGAAAATTAGTTTCTTCTGGACTAGCTGACAAAGGACAGAGTGGTCTTGAATTCAGAACTGCTTCTACTTGGGTGAGCAAGGTTGACCACTCTTCATAAGTCAAAGCAGTTTCTCCAGCTATCTTCCTCAAATGTGTCTTTGTTGATTTAACTGCCGACTCCCACAGTCCACCAAAGTGTGGGGAATAGGGAGGATTGAAATTCCATTTTACTTCCAGTTTAGTAGTTTGCTGTAGAATTTCTTCTTGTGTAGTCTGATTGGAGTACCATAATCCTAACTCTCGAAGACGATTAGCTGCTCCTCTGAAGTTGGTTCCACAGTCGGAATACACTTGTTCAGGAAGACCTCTTCTAGAAATAAAACGTCTGAAAGCAGCCATAAAGGCATCTGTTGAGAGTGCGGTTACCAGCTCTAAATGTAAAGCTTTAGTAGCCATGCAGACAAAAACACAGATGTAAGTCTTGGCAGTGGTTGCTTTTCTTCTTAACGACTCTCTCATAGTCAAAGGTCCAGCAAAGTCAACACCAACATGTAAAAATGCTCGGCTTACATTCACTCGTTGCGAAGGAAGATCAGCCATCATCGGGGAAAAGGTTTCAGCCTTTAGCTTGAAGCACCTTAGACATTTGAAGGTTCGCTGACGGACAATATTTCTCAGTGATGGTATCCAAAATCGTAATTGAATCAGAGCTTGAAGCAAGTTGGGTCCTGGGTGTAGGTAGATTTTATGGTAATAATCTACCAACAATAAGGTGAAATGACACTTTGGCAGAAGGATTGGGTGTCTTTGATCTTCTGGGATAGCTGCATTATTTAGCCTGCCGCCCACCCTGAGTATCCCCAGTTTGTCAAAGAAAGGGGTAAGTTTATGAAACTTATTGAGGACAGCAGTTGCACATCTTCTGTCGCCATCAATAGAGAAAAAGTGTGATTGAATTTTCTTGATGCAGGATAGTAAGGACTCTTGAATTTCCTTAGGCTGAAGGGGTCCTTTCAGACGACTAGTACTGTGTAGTTTAGCTTGACAATTGTAGATAAATCTTCTGATCCAAGATATTACACGTAAGAGTTTGTAGTATGAAGAATAGTTTTCCATCATCTTGATAAGCTCTGGCTCAGTACTATTTGAGACAAGCACTTGTGGTTCAGCTTTCACTTCAGGTAGGGGCTGCTGCTGGAACTGTACTGTAGACTCTGGCCATTTATCTTCAGGCATATTCATCCACTTAGGGCCATGCCACCATAGATCACAGTTAGTTAGTTTATCTGGTAAAAGTCCTCTAGAACCATGGTCACTTGGATTTTCCTCTGATTTAATATGTCTCCACGATGAAACAGGAGTATGTTCTGAGATATGTGCAACTCTGTTTGCTACAAAAACTTTAAGCTTGTAAGTTGGTGTATTCAGCCATCCTAAGACAATTGAAGAATCAGTGAAGAAAATAGGCTTCTGAAACTGATTACTGGCAAATTGGCTGAGGGTTTCCATAACAGAGTGGAATAATGTTGCAAGCAGGTAGGCTCCACACAACTCTAAGCGTGGGATAGACAGTGTCTTGATTGGGGCTAACTTAGTTTTGGCTGTTAGAAGGTTTGTAATTATTTTGTCACTAATAACTCTCAGATACAGTGCAGCACAATATCCTTTTTCTGAAGCATCAGCAAATCCTACTATTTGCAATTTGTATGGTTTGTCAGATGTTACAAATCTTGGAATACTAAGATGTTGCAGTTTCTCTAGCTGGGTAGTCAAATCATTCCATAGAGTCTTCAAGTTAGTTGGGATTTCAGAATCCCAGTCCAGCTTCAATTTCCATAGGCTTTGTATTATGCTCTTTGCAATCATTATCACAGGAGAAACGAATCCTAGAGGATCAAAAATCTTTGCCACAGCTGATAGGATAGCCCTTTTAGTAAACACAGGGGTAAATTGTTCAATCTGGTATGCAAACGTGTCACTTGAAGGGTTCCATTGAAGTCCTAGGATCTTGACATTTGAATCTTCACTAGATGAGAGGTTGATCTGTTTGATATGTTTTGAAGGATTGATTGCATTTAAAATTTCCTGAGAGTTACTGGCCCATTTACTTAGACCAAAATGACCTTTGTGTAAAAGATTGATTACTTCATCCTTGAGTTTCAAGGCTTCATCAACAGTAGAAGCACCAGTGACAAGATCGTCGACATACATGTCTTGAAGAATAGCCTTTGCTGCATGTGGATAGTCAGTCCCTTCATCGGTTGCTAGCTGTTTCATGACTCTCAAGGCTAAAAAAGGTGCAGAGGTAGTACCATATGTTACTGTATTCAGTTCATATTTCTGAATAGCTTCAGAAGGATCAAATCTCCAGAAAATGTGTTGATATACCCTATCAGAGGGATGAACTAAAATCTGCCTGTACATTTTTATTATATCAGCCACAAAAACTACTGGATACATCCTAAATCTTGTCAAGATACCTTTTATGTCTTGCTGTAACTTTGGGCCTATCATAAGATGGTTGTTTAGAGACGTGTTAGAGTCAGTAAGGGAAGAAGCATCAAATACTACTCTGAGCTTAATCTGTGAGCGATCTTCTTTAGTGACAGAATGGTGTGGGATCACATATTTTGAAGTAGATGATGTGGGGCTCATGTGTTCCAGTTCAAGGTATTCTTTCATGAAATTGCAGTATTCAGACTTAAGTAGAGAATTCTTTGTCAGTTTTGTTTCTAGACTGTATAGTCTTTTCAGAGAATTTCTTTCAGAGTCACCAAGATGCTTTGGCTCACTTTTAAACGGTAGGCGAACAACGTACTGGCCGCTCTCAAGTCTGTAGTGAGTCTCTGTAAAATGCTTTTCACAAGCTAAATCTTCTGGGTTTTCTTTGACTGGGATAGAAGCAGGTTCCTCGAGTTCCCAAAATCGTTGCAGCTGATTATGAATATCATATTTATCATAAGCAAGGGTGAAGAAAGAAGCATTCATATTAGTGGATGATTGACAGTCAAGAACTCTCCCAATAGCAATGTAGCCAAAGACTGATGCAAACAGCTTGGGTTGGTTTTCATGAAGAGTAATCGAAGATCCAAGCCAAACATCTGGAAACAAGTCAGAGCCCAATAAAAACTCAATAGGTCCAGGTTCCCAAAACTTAGGGTCTGCTAGTTCAAATTTGGTATATTCCGACCATAAGTTAGAAGGCATAGTGAAGTTGGGTAGGTATGAAGTAATATTGTTGATCACAACAGCTTCTGTTTTGAGGATAGGGGATTCCTGATTTTTTGGCTTCAGATGACAAAGTGCTTTGCCTTTTGCACCATCAAATATGGTCTGGCCAATAGCCGATATCTTCTTTGGATATGGAGTTGTCGATAAACCAAGTTTGGTGAGGCATTTGTGAGTTATGAAGGAATGTTGACTTCCTGAGTCTATCACTAGACGTATGGGTTGAAATCTTCCGGAAGCATCTTTTATCTCAGCAACTACAGTACCTAGCAATATGTTGCTATGTTGAGGAAGAGTTGCGGTCAAAGACGAAGTTGGTGCACTAGTAGCATTATCTTTCAGTTCTTCATCAGCTGAGGTTGGAATATGTAGTAACGAGTGGTGTCTCTTCTTGCAAAATTTACAAGTCCACTTTGAGTTACACTTTCCTATAGTGTGGTTGGCATACAAGCAATTTTTACATCCATGCCAATTTTTTAACATCTTGTGTCGCTCATCAACTGTTGCATTCATAAAATCTTTACATCTCCAGAGTGTATGACTACCACTGTTGCATAGTAAGCATGTGAAACCTTTATTGTTATCTTTCGATTGCATGTTATTTCCTGGTGAGTTAGCCAAGAGTGTAGCTCGCATACCACGGCTAGAAGATCTAGTATTATATCCTTTAATAGCGCCACTAGGCTTCGCAGAGTTATTGTCATGTGAGGATTGATGAGAATTTCCAAGGGCGAGCTGTAATGCTAGGCATCGTTCCCGTAGAAATTTTGTAAGATCATCAAAGACAGGAAAATCTTTATCTTTGTGTTGAAGTTCAAACTGTTCTCTGGTCGCAGAATCTAATAATCGAACAGCAATATGAAACAATACAAAATCTGCTTCATTTGGAATTTTTAGCAGTTTAAATGCTGCAATATTGTCTGAAACTTGTGATACAAAGTTCTGTAGAGAATCAATGGTAGGTTTGCCTTGCTGTGGCTTAAACTGGATGAGCTGATTTAAATAGTTAGAGGCTAGCATACGTTTATTATTAAACGTGTCATTCAATGCCTTCCATGCCAAGTCATAATTGTCTTCTATTAATGGCAAGTTACTTATAACTGCAGAAGCTGTGCCTACAAGTGAGGAAACCAGGTAATGGAATTTCTCCATTTTAGTCAACAAAGCATCATTATGAATAATTGATAAGAATGCATCACGGAATTTAGGCCAGTTTGTAATTTGTCCGTTGAAGTGGGGCAGATTGATCCGAGGTAAAATTTTATTTGATCTGTTTTCAGATGATATAACTGATTCATTAGGATTAATGCTTTGGCGTGAGGGAGGTGATGTTGTCTGAACAAGAGCCATAAGTGCCTCATAGCTTGTGTGTGCCTCGTAGTAATAACGTTTGGCCTTAGTTTGGATAGTCAGATCTGCTTCGACAGGAAATTCTGAGACTTTTCCTTCATCTTCATGTAGGTCAATAAGTTCATCCCAAAGAGTTTCAAATTTGGAAAAATATTTCTCTAACACCTTAAACATACCCTTGAATAAGTTCACTTGAGCAGGATCTTTGAGAGCTGCTCTACCCTTCTCATTAATAGTTTGGACTTCCTTAGCACTATCTGATAATTTTCGCTTCAAGGCAGAAACCTTACGCTTAAAATCTTCTGCATCCATTTTCCCCTCAGAAATTGAATACCAAGAGAAAATTTAAATAATCAAAGGCACAAATGTTTGAGCAATCTTTACAAAAGTATGAACATGACAAGTACTATATACTTCAAGATAGTAAAAAAAATCAACAAAGAATACCACTAATTCAGAATGAAAGTAGATAAAAAAATTCACATCATGATTTGCAAAATTATTCAATAATGCTTGTAGCCTATATAATATTACAGTAGCACATAGAACAAGATTGTAGAATATAAATCAGCAATATTTATTTGTGTTAAGAAACTATTTGGCATAAGAAAATATTTTCAGATTAAATTCTCAAAACAACCCTAATAACTCTTAAAATTATCAATAAACCACAAATCCAATTCTGGAGAAATGTATGAGCGTTTTACGATTAAATATCTAATTTAATCAAAGATCAAATGAATACCAAATATTTTATATGATAACTACCTTTAAACAAACAAATTCTCAACTGTAATCTACAATAACCTTCAAATACAATTAACCTTACTTTGACAATTTAAAAATGACCTTAAATATGTTTCTTTAAAAGGATATTTTAATTTACAATTTTTTATTTATTAACAAATGACTAAGTTAATCCGGCTCGAAGGACCAATGTGTTTGAACAAAGGGGAATTAAAAATTAAATTCCTGACTTTGCTACCAAACTGAATAATTGCTGGTTCAATAGATATTTGTTAATATAGTAGAAATCAAGTTTATTGATCTGTCTAAACAGTGAGTTACTACCTACTGGAAAAATAATAAATTCATTTGAGTTCAGAAAATATTATAATGATACAAAATTAAATTAACCCTTTACAAATCAAATCAAAACTATTCTCTTGATGAGATATTTAAGTCCAAATTGGAATAGACAGAGAGGAATGATGTGTAGAGATGTACTCACGACCTCGAAGAGAAGAAATTAATGAATGTTCGTTAATACCAAGTAATGGAGATTAACACTTCTTGAGAAAATAAAATATAACACTGTGTGCACACAAACTTCTGGTGAATGTTCCTCACGGTTAAATAAAACTTCTGTTGAAACAATAGAGTCAATAATTGATGATTTAATATGGGATACTGAGACCCATGGTAAAATAATTAGAGGGATTCAGAGACCCTCATAATGTTTGATTCACATGAAGACTGCATAGTAACTGCGTGAGTTGGAGCAGTGTACAGGAAAAACCACTGGTCAGTCTATATCATGTCGGCTGGAACTGATAAGCAGGATACGCAGCACATTCCTCTGCATTGTCTGCCTATCTCTCTCTCTCTCTCTCTGTCTGGCTTAACTTAATACAATTTTATTTTATGAACTCACTTAAAATATTATTCTGAATTGAACCAAAAAAGTGCAGTGATTTATTTACACACAAAACATTTAAATATCTATTATTTAAATGACAAAACAAGTATTATTTTATTTAAAATAAATTTAAGTTTAGACCTAATTTGAGAATGCTCAAACAAGGTTACACACTGAAAGTAAATCTTAAGCATTTTGGTCTAAAGCATTTTTGACTTAAACTGTATGACTGGCTAAGCTTAAATCCTTGTTATGGCTTGTCATAATATTTTTCTATTAAGTCTGTACACTTCTGATGTTTTGATACTGACGAATAGTATTGTATTTTTATCTTAGTAATGATCTTAGTAGCTACCACATTGACGTTGTCTATTCCATTTCTGTATAGATTTAATTCTGGTTATATTGACAAAAGAACAGACACTTACAGTGTCGGAAGTAAACGCTCCCGATTATTTTCGTACCCAACAGTTCACTTATTTATGTAAGCTATGCACATATAACTAAATAATGTCTTATGTATTAGACATAGGCCTTTGCCATTTTTACCACTTGTTCATTGTCTTATGACAGTGATATTTGATCATAAAAATTAAAGTAGCTGATAAGAAAACATAATTATGTATTTTATTTAAATTTATAAATTACAAATTTGTATTTCTAACAAATAATTATTTAAATTTTTTTCTGCAATAGTATTTCAATTCTAATGATCAAAAGTCTCTAGGTATTGTAAGGACCAAAATAAGACAATAATAGTTACAATTGGTCAAAAAATAAAAAAAGTTATTAAAAGTTTAAAAATGTACCGAAAAACGCTAATAAAAACTTAAATTATTTGTTTAAACGCCCACTTTTTTAAATGCTTTATTTACCATGGACACCTAGGTGTATTCTTTATTTTTCAAACTTCACACTTACAAAGCCCAGTCGTTTGAAAAAATATGGAGTTAGAACTGATTGTGACAATATGTCTTGTTTCAGCAACTTTTCTTGTAGAATGTTCAATATCAGTATAGCTTTTTCCTTAAAAGAGCCGAGTATCTTTTGTTAAGATTCAGATTCATTATATAAATCAATTCAATACAAAATGTACAAGTTAATTCCATAAAGCTTATCAGCACCAGCTGATCTAAAACTATGAATTTAAAACTTTAAAACAATTTCTATTCCAAGTAAAGCCTTCATGCATTAAAGGGGTTAATTTTCAAACGCAGAACAGTTCAAATGCATTATCCTTTGACCCCGCTAACGAAACTCTAACTTTGCAATCATCAGTTAGTCGCTTCACCCCCCTGAAGGGGCTGAAATAATCTAATTATAAGCCTAAAATCAGTGAGGAGGGGGAAATTCGAGTCCCGTCAATCCATTCAAGAGTATGGATAACACGTTAAAGACTAAGACTATACAATTCTTGCACGGAATCAGTATAAAGAAAGCTTAAGCTAAATAGTTCGTGTTTAACTAGCTCTGTAAAGTGATCCTGGTCTTAAGTTCATCAAATCAGAACAAGGCAAGCCTAACATAAACTATTTCTCTTAAATTCAGCTAGTCAGAGGCTATTTCACCATGAAATAAGAAACTTTCATTAAGAATACACAATTGAAGACTGTCCTACTACAAAATAACTGGAAACATTTATTTTTTATTTTTTGATCATTTTTAAATTAAGATATTTCTTACTGTAGCATTAATTATACAAATCTATCAATTAATGTTGTTACTTAAATAAACACTTTCGCATTCAAGCATTTCTGTCTACTATCTAATTCGCCTATTGGGTCTGATGATGATTGGAGTGTCCAATCGAAGTCGATCACCACTTACCATCTTTTGTATATTTACCGTCTTGTGAGTAACAGTATAAGCGTAAATATATGTTTTAAGTGTTTATCTTTATTTACTTTCCGTAGATAAGATAAGACCGACAACAATGCCATCGTAAGTAAATACCTGGAAAAGATTCCATTCTACTAAACAAAGTACTCTGTCATTGAAAAACTACGTTTTGTACACTTTAATCATTGATTATTGGATACTTAAGTAGACGTCCAATTTATATCAACCAGCTGTAGCCAATTTTTTTAAAAGAACGTAGTTGTGCGAGCCAGTCATAGAATGCGCTAGTGACTAAAACTCTATTTTCTACCTTATTTATTGTTGCAGGCCAAGTTGATGGGTTATAACAGTTGCTATAGCTCACAGTAAGTGATTCAATTAGTTTGAATTGGTTAACAAGATTGTGTATTCAACAGAAATCAGTAATTTATATCAGCACAATCTGTCGGTGGCTTACATCAACTACGACGATTTTGGTAAAAAAAGCTGGCTACAAATTTAACATGGTGATGGAAAGTCTAGTTGTATTGATAGTCTAAGGTTGTATCATAACTTCCAAGGCCTGACTTATTGGAGGTTAAGAATATACATGAATTAACTAAAAAATAACATTATTTATCTGCAACTGAATTGTTATTTAGCAAAATATTTTGTACTATTAAATATATAACAGTAACTACAAAATGTTATCATTAAAGCATTTTTAAATATTGGTGTACCGGATACAAAACGAATCATGATATTAAACAGCTACATTATGATAATAAATTAAACAGTTCGTTAAAAAATAGTGTCCTGATTTTTTACCATGAGGACAGACATGAAAAAATACTCAAATATACATTTTTTTTTACATTACACAATGTACGATTCTAAGAAGCTATATTGAGATTTTGATGTTCGCTGGAATCCGTGTCAACGATTTATTGCCAGAGCGATGACATTTGAAGCACGTGACTCTGTTTATTGGAATGTCACGAACCTGATCATAGGATCAGTTTTATGGTGAAACAACATGTGGCATCATTAGTTTTCTGATATATTATTACATAAAGATAAATTTTAAATGTTTTTCTTAGATAATTATAATTAGCAACTATTTAACATATTTAACTAATTAGCTATGTAATAGAAACTAGATTTTCCAAATATATGTTACTAAATTATTATCATGTTAAAATATTATTCATATAAATTAACATAACGTACATTATTATTACACACAATGTATACTCTTTAGTAAGCACAAGTAAATGACAACTTTTAAATATAAAATTAAATCTATACATTTATTTACTTTATTGGGGAGGTCCTCCCCAATGGAAATGTATGGTCCAATAAAGAGCAATTGGATATAAAGCATAACATATTATTTTTCAACCAATGATTTAGTTTATAATATACTATATTGTTTATTCTGGATGTAGGTTGCAAGGTCAACGAAGTTACTAGTAGTTTTAGCAAAGAAAAGAGAACTATTTGCCTAGAAATGCATTCTCACTCTAAAAATTGAAGATAAACACGTGTTTTATTACAACAACTGAATCAATACATTCGGTGTTGAGTGTTTTCAATCTATAGTACTACTGATTAATATAATTCTATTTGATTTACTTGACATGCTATTATTTTTTCAAATATAACGTCCATTAACAAAAAGATTTTTCTAACTGCTTTATAGACATGTAAACGTTAGTTGTGTAAGTCTTACTGTTGCAAGTTTTTTGAGTTGTTTCTACTTTGAAAGGACGTAACAAAGAAGATAAATCTTGTTAAGAATAATACATAATTTTTGACCATGTCTACTAGGTGAGATATTTGTGAACATTTCATA